TGCTGCCCTGGGGTCACAACGAGGAGACCCTCCTGCTGCCCTGGGGTGAATATTATTGAGTCATGTCTAATACTTTAAGTGGTTATTTTTAGTTTATGCAGTTTAATTCCTGTTGAAATGAAAATATTTAAAGCTGAAGGAACCACCTGGGCGGATTATTTATCCAGTAATAAAAATAAATTGACACGTTTGGTTTTGGCTTCACGACGCCATTTGTAGGAAAACCTGAGAAATAAAAGGCGTAAACAAATAAAATAAATGTTTTCACGAGGAGCGGGCAGGTTCATCTCGTTACCGGAGACACACGTGCTCCTGGTAGAAGGCCCGGCCGCGTGGAGCCGGAGGAAGCGGGGTTTAAAAACGCCACGTCGCTCACCGACAGGCTGTGTGCCGCGGTGAGATAAGCTGTTTGTGTTTGTGCCACCTTCACGTGTTCTCGGAGTAAACAACAACAACCGCTGCACAGAAACAAAGTCTTACATGGACCGTTTCCTTCATATTTAATACTTCAAACAGACGTTAGGACCTGATGCACGTCATCATGATGTGAAGACGTTCAACCGTTTCTAACGGCAGGAACTCGGTGGTTCCCACTCACCATGTTCCACTTGGGGAACAGGAAGTCCGTGCCGACGTACTCAAAGAAATGAGCGAAGCCTTCCTTCAACCAGACGTCCTCCCACCAGACCGGCGTCACCAGGTCCCCGAACCACTGCAAGAAAAGCACAGAAGAAGAAACGAGGCGTCGTTAACGTTTGTCTTGTTGATCAAACCACAGACGGTTGGATAAAGTCACAACTTTTATTCAAATAGATTCCAGAACGTCTGTAGACCTCCTCTGAGGAACCAAACACCTCCCGACACGAAACGTTTGGGACTGACGTTATTTCCACGCCTGCTCCTCCCGACCGACGGTTTGTTTGAACTCTTGGTGATCAAAGATCAGATCGAAGTTTAAAACATCTCCTCAGTCCTCACCAAACAGACCAGCACTGATCCGTCCACCAAAGACAGGCTCAAGTTCTTTGAGACAAAGAAGAAGCCGGGCAGGAACCAGAACCGTCTTCTCTGGACCGACCTTTAAACTGGGCTGAGGCAGAGAGGACTACTGTCCTGAGGACAGATGGAGACAAATAAAATTATCTTTAGAACCACGAACACAACAACCTCCCAACTAAAGAGGAGAGGGAACATCCGCCTTAAAATACTGCCTCTCTGATGGTATGGGGGTGCATTAGTGCCTCTAGCAAAAAGACAGAACCGCTAGAACCCTCCACCAGACCAGGATGGGACAACATACCATATAAAACATCCAACATCTGGTCTCCTCAGGTCCTCTAAAACATCCAACATCTGGTCTCCTCAGGTCCTCTAAAACATCCAATATCTGGTCTCCTCAGGTCCTCAAAAACATCCAACATCTGGTCTCCTAAGGTCTTCTAAAACATCAAACATCTTGTCTCCTAAGGTCCTCTAAAACATCCAACATCTGGTCTCCTCAGGTCCTCAAAAACATCCAACATCTGGTCTCCTAAGGTCTTCTAAAACATCAAACATCTGGTCTCCTAAGGTCTTCTAAAACATCAAACATCTTGTCTCCTAAGGTCCTCTAAAACATCCAACATCTGGTCTCCTCAGGTCCTCAAAAACATCCAACATCTAGTCTCCTCAGGTCCTCAAAAACATCCAACATCTGGTCTCCTAAGGTCTTCTAAAACATCCAACA